AATACTAATAACATTCCAATATTTATATAAAAAAGTTATGTTTTTATTTTAAAGGTTTATATGAAGAGCGGAGAAAAATAGATAAATGAAAAATATTAATTAATAAGATAGGAATAGGAACGGTAGAGGTTGGCGTGAGGCAGAACGTGGAGAAGCGCGTGAGAGATGGCTGGAGACGGAAGGGAAATCAAAATCACGCGAATCCCACATCACAGAGTGTCCACGTAAGCAAACGGAATCTTCAGAGTATATTTGTGCCACCTGGCAACGCATCACACCCACACTCAAAAATATCCCAGACCAACCATTCATTTATTTTCAAATTTTTAATCAATTGAAAAAGGAAATGATTTAATTATTATTATTATTATCCATTAATAGTAATTATTAAAGTGTGAATTTACAATAGAGGCCACAGAAAAAAAGGGTTGGTGTTCCCTGAGGAGGATACACCTGGCGACGCCTGACACCACAAAACCATACACTCCCATTCCTTCTCCATGCTTTCATTCCACACTACCTAGCTCTTCTTCCTTTCACAATTATTATCACCCGTCTCATTTACTCCAATGTCCAAATTCTTCTTAGTTATCTTTTTTATCCCAATATTTAATATTTCCATATATTTTACTTCTTTAACTTCAACAAAACTATTATATAAAATTAAATTTTCTTTTTAAATACTTAATCTTATACATATTTAATAGTTGAATAAAATTCTTAGTTAAATTCAAACAATCTTATTCTAATTCATTTATTTACTGATTATGCTCTGCGTATATTATTTGCTCGTGTTAATATTATTTTATTATATCAAAAGTACATTCTTAATTTTCGGAAAAACAAAACAAAACATGTGCTTGGTTTTATAATATGATCAATCAAAGTCATGAAATGAGAAATTGGGGCCGAGAATCATATAAGACAACACCTCTTCTCATGTCTAGTCAACGTATTTTCAGTGTTCATTATGTTATTCTTTCGTTTATATCTACTAGTTGTAATGCTATAAAAAAAATAAAAAAATTACTTAAATGGGTTGTTTAAATATGAATATGTTGACTAATAAGATTTTCATTAAAAAAATTCTTGTAAATAGGTTTTTGAAAAATATAATTTCTTTATATGTAATTTTTCATATCAAATATATTACATACGTGAAATTTTTTAAACATCATTTATATGAGAATTTTAATAAAAAAACTTATAAGTGAATCATCTTTCTATGCTCAAGTTGAATATTTGTGTAAAAAATCATGTGATATTATCATTCTCAATTTAGTGTGTTTTAAAATATCGATTTAGAACATAAATCATGCTTCATCTAATTTGTTTTGTTTTGTTTTTATTAAAACATCAATGATTGAATAAAATTATTTGAAATTATTCTTAAAAATGTGGAAATTATCTCTCTGAAAAAATAGAAGAAAACCATGCTCATTAAATACGTGGAAGTTAACATAAGTTGGTTATTTAAAGAAATTACTAATGAAAAAAAAAGAAAAAACCTATTCTCTTTTCTAATTATATTGTATTGTTGTAATAAGAGCTTATTAAAGTTGGATCACTAGTCAAGAATTTACCATGATGTCAAAATTAAAATAAAAACATGAAGTACACAAATTTCGACTCATAAAAAAATCAATGAGGATGTTACAAGAGCAAAAACTCCCTTGCTACACGCAAAAGAAAACACATTAATTGTGTTTAAATATTGATAATATGCAATAAAGATGACGTAGGACACACTTTTTAATATTATTCGTACAAAATCAATAACTTATATAATCGAAATTTTAAACATAGATCATGTGATATCTTTCACATTTTAACTTCTCTCAGCTATATTTTTCAGAGTTCCATAGATATTTTATTAAAATTAAAAAATATATTTATTATAAAAATAAAAAATTATCAAATATCATTTTAAAAAAAACGGGATGTTACACCGATAACCTCGTGTGTAGAAAAAAAGAAGAACAAATAGTGTGAGGAAAGAAGGAGAATGAAATATATAAAAGAAAAAGGAAACAGAGAGAGAAAACTGAACAATGTGTTGTAAATAAAGTGGAAATTATAGACAAATTAAAATTAAATTGTTTTTGATTAAAAAAATTATAAATATAAAATAAGAGAATAGTAGAATTACCTTTCTACCTTTAAAGATTTAAATTAAATTGTTTTAATCGAATTCTTCACTAGATGTTTTATTCAAATATTTTTACAACTTATTTAAATATGCGAAGTGTTATTGGAACTATTTTTGTCCCTTATCAAATATTCGAAGTTGTTTTTACCAATTATTCAAATACATAAAATGCTAACAAAGACGCGAATGTCTTCCTTTTATTCAAATTTATATTTCATCATTCGAATAATAATGCAAGTTACGTGAAACTCTGAGTTGTTATTTGAATTATATCAATTATATTCAAATATCTTATACTTCAAATCTGGCAATTCAAATATCATATGAATTATCTATTATTGTATTATTTTTATATGTTAATGCTCTCTTCTTTAGTCTTGATCTAAAAAGATCCAATGAGTACCATAATTAAACCGTTTTATTCCAATAATATTGAAAAGAGAAAGAAAAAATATTATTATTATAAAGAAAAACGAATTTTTGGTTTCGAAATAAAAAAAGATGAAACGGCAGAGTACAGAAGCTGCAGAGGTTGGAATTTCCTTTATAAATTTCGCCGACAATCAGAGCCTCTTTCTTCCCTTTCTTTTTTTCCTTTCTTCAAATCTTCCAACGGAGAGAGAAAGTAAAAAGAAAAAGAAAATCGCACAAAATAAACAGAGAGAAAAAGAAAAGAATAAAAAAAACACAAACTTTCGAAACGATCGTCTTTCGTGTGAGTGGAAGATGAAGAAGTGCGAACTGTGTAAGCTTCCGGCCAGGATTTTCTGCGAGTCGGACCAGGCCAGCTTATGCTGGGACTGCGACGCAAAGGTTCACGGCGCAAACTTCTTGGTCGCCAGACACTCGCGAACCCTACTCTGCCGTACGTGCCACTCTCCCACGCCGTGGAAGGCCGCCGGAGCCAGACTCTCTAACGCCGCCTCCATCTGCCACCGCTGCGCCGCCTCCGCCGCAGAAGAACCGGACGAGACCGAATCCGGCAATGACGAGGAACCAAGCACGGAGGATGACGATGTCTCCGGCGAGGAAGACGGCGAGAACCAGGTCGTGCCGTGGTCCTCCACACCGCCTCCGCCGGCGAGCTCCTCCAGCAGCGAGTGGTCGTCGTTCAGCGGGTGCAAAAACGACGACGACGAAGGTGCTTCTGTTTCCGTATGTGAACCGGAAACGACAACATCCTCGTTGAAACGACAACGCGAGAACGACGACGACGGTGTATCCGGCCGTGATCCGCAGGTTTGCTTTATTTAATTTTTGTTTCCGACGACGAACAATCGCTTATTTGTATATATTATTTTTATTTATTAATTTAATTATTTATGTTGGTTTATTGCGTGAAAGCAGGGGTTTGGAAGGGTTGCGCATCTCAACGGAGGTGGCGTATGACGGAGGATGAGGATGATCGTTGGAGGAGATTTCAACCACTCGCTACGACGACGTTTCGTGTTGGGGAAAGCAAGAGTCTCTGAACCGTACGATGGACCAAGATATTTTAGCTCTTTCATCATTAACTTATAATCTAACCGCTTACAATAGAGTACTGGTTTTTTACTGTAGGATGATTATGATGTTGTGTGTTTAACAACAAGTTTTCCTTTATTGGTTTCTAATTTAAGACAAAGTTAGCATATAATCTTGATTACTGGAAGTTGTAACCCTTTTATATGTCTAAATAAAATGTCCGATTAATTTTTGAATTTTTGTATGGTTTAGTGCAGAGAATAGAATTAGAAAGAGTTGATAAAAGATTATAGTTATAATTAAGAAAATGGGAGTGGTTAGCATTTAGCGGTGGTTAGAGACGTTGGTGAAGGTGTGGCTGTGTGAAAGTGAAGATTTTTTCTCTTTCCTTAAAAGGGTGTGAGGTGAGAGTTGCTGTGCTAGGTTTGATGTGCGTGTCATGTTGTAGGACCTCACAGCACAACCACAACCAAGTGTAGTGTGTGAACAAAATGAAGAATAATGAAAGGTGCAATGCATCAAAGAAGCACATCACTAGCTACTACACATTTATGTTTACGTGTACGACTAGGTAGGGCTCAAATTAGAGATAAGTGTAAAGTGAACAAACCCCAATTTCTAATTGAATGAATGATACAAACTATAAATAGAAGGAGTTGAATGCGATATAGCGCACCACTTCCTTGTCGCCTGCCTGCATTTCAACATAAACTCATCAATTAACTAATAAAATGAACCAAACGCCCTCAGCAGCTTGGTGTTTCCAGATATTATACCATAATTTGGTATTTTAAAATTGAGGTATCTTGCACGCATAATTGCCATCATTTCTTGATTTGGGGTGTAATTATGCATCCTAAGTTGAGGTGTCTTAAATGTGTATTAACATGTCAAGTAAATTAGGTTGATTTTCTGTATAATGTATGGCTTCACAATTTATTATATATTTATCCGAATCCATGGGTTCATGGAACTCACTTCAAATGTTTGTATTTTCTCTTTAAACTAAATAAAATAATAGATTTGTTTTAGCTAATCGTACACAACTCTACTATATTCAATAAAATAGCAATAATAATATTTTAACACAAATTTTACATTTGACGTTATCTTTTATTTTTATTTTTTGAAAAAGTATAAAAATTCATTTTTTTATAATTATTTAATTCTTGTATTGTATTATGTATTAAATGAATATAACTTTAAAAAGTATAAAAATTCATTTCTATCATTATATATTAAATGAATATAAAAGTGTATCATCTTATCATTGTTTATAAAAGAATTAACAAATAAAATTTATATTATAAAAGAATTAACAAATAAAATTTATATTATAAAAGAATTAACAAATAAAATTTATATTATAAAAGAATTAACAAATAAAATTTATATTATAAAAGAATTAACAAATAAAATTTATATTATAAAAGAATTAACAAATAAAATTTATATTATAAAAGAATTAACAAATAAAATTTATATTATAAAAGAATTAACAAATAAAATTTATATTATAAAAGAATTAACAAATAAAATTTATATTATAAAAGAATTAACAAATAAAATTTATATTATAAAAGAATTAACAAATAAAATTTATATTATAAAAGAATTAACAAATAAAATTTATATTATAAAAGAATTAACAAATAAAATTTATATTATAAAAGAATTAACAAATAAAATTTATATTATAAAAGAATTAACAAATAAAATTTATATTATAAAAGAATTAACAAATAAAATTTATATTATAAAAGAATTAACAAATAAAATTTATATTATAAAAGAATTAACAAATAAAATTTATATTATAAAAGAATTAACAAATAAAATTTATATTATAAAAGAATTAACAAATAAAATTTATATTATAAAAGAATTAACAAATAAAATTTATATTATAAAAGAATTAACAAATAAAATTTATATTATAAAAGAATTAACAAATAAAATTTATATTATAAAAGAATTAACAAATAAAATTTATATTATAAAAGAATTAACAAATAAAATTTATATTATAAAAGAATTAACAAATAAAATTTATATTATAAAAGAATTAACAAATAAAATTTATATTATAAAAGAATTAACAAATAAAATTTATATTATAAAAGAATTAACAAATAAAATTTATATTATAAAAGAATTAACAAATAAAATTTATATTATAAAAGAATTAACAAATAAAATTTATATTATAAAAGAATTAACAAATAAAATTTATATTATAAAAGAATTAACAAATAAAATTTATATTATAAAAGAATTAACAAATAAAATTTATATTATAAAAGAATTAACAAATAAAATTTATATTATAAAAGAATTAACAAATAAAATTTATATTATAAAAGAATTAACAAATAAAATTTATATTATAAAAGAATTAACAAATAAAATTTATATTATAAAAGAATTAACAAATAAAATTTATATTATAAAAGAATTAACAAATAAAATTTATATTATAAAAGAATTAACAAATAAAATTTATATTATAAAAGAATTAACAAATAAAATTTATATTATAAAAGAATTAACAAATAAAATTTATATTATAAAAGAATTAACAAATAAAATTTATATTATAAAAGAATTAACAAATAAAATTTATATTATAAAAGAATTAACAAATAAAATTTATATTATAAAAGAATTAACAAATAAAATTTATATTATAAAAGAATTAACAAATAAAATTTATATTATAAAAGAATTAACAAATAAAATTTATATTATAAAAGAATTAACAAATAAAATTTATATTATAAAAGAATTAACAAATAAAATTTATATTATAAAAGAATTAACAAATAAAATTTATATTATAAAAGAATTAACAAATAAAATTTATATTATAAAAGAATTAACAAATAAAATTTATATTATAAAAGAATTAACAAATAAAATTTATATTATAAAAGAATTAACAAATAAAATTTATATTATAAAAGAATTAACAAATAAAATTTATATTATAAAAGAATTAACAAATAAAATTTATATTATAAAAGAATTAACAAATAAAATTTATATTATAAAAGAATTAACAAATAAAATTTATATTATAAAAGAATTAACAAATAAAATTTATATTATAAAAGAATTAACAAATAAAATTTATATTATAAAAGAATTAACAAATAAAATTTATATTATAAAAGAATTAACAAATAAAATTTATATTATAAAAGAATTAACAAATAAAATTTATATTATAAAAGAATTAACAAATAAAATTTATATTATAAAAGAATTAACAAATAAAATTTATATTATAAAAGAATTAACAAATAAAATTTATATTATAAAATAGTTAACAAATAGGATTTATATTATAAAATAGCGTATGATGATAAATTATGTTCCTTATTGTAAATAATTTTGAATTATAACTTGGAAGTCGCCTCTAGTTTGCCTTTATAAGGGCAATTATAATAAAACTATACTTAACAAAATGTTAGTTTTATTTGTTTATTTCATAATTAAAATAACTAGTAGTGGATAATGCATACTGGATATAATAGTTATTGTTAATAGTAATATTGTCAAATGTTTTATTAGTAGTCTTCAAATTGAATGAATACATGGTTTTGACCCTCAAATTGAATGAATTTAAATTATCTATTTGAGTATATATATTTTTTAATTTAGAATGTAAAATGTTGTATGGAAATTTGGTTTAGGATGAAATTAACATGTCTTTTGTATTTTATTTTTACAATAATAAAAAAATTGTGTAAGCGAATTTCAAGAAAAAATACAAAAAATTAAATAAATAAAAGAAGAAAGTGGAATAAGATAAAGATGAAAACGTCACAATCTAATAAATTGATAAGTCAAAGAAGATTCGTTCAAAAAATTGTAATTTTTTTATTAAAACTATAGTTGAAGATGCCATGATCTAAAAAATTGATAAATTAAGGAAGATTCGTCATAAAGAAATTCATCTTTGATAAGAATCAGAATTCTAACCCAAGTACCATAAACTTCCTTTCAAAGAAAAATCAATATTCATGTAATGATCATCTAAGATGTCTACATATGTATTTGGTTCCCTATATAGACACAAATGTTTAAGATACCTAAGAAATCCTAAAAAAACAAAAACTTAAAAATTCAAAAACAAAAATTAAAAGAAAATTACAAATAATTTTAATTTACTAAAAGTATCCCATAATTGTGTTTCAAGTCATGATCTTCATATCTTTTAAACTGCAAAGACTCATCTTCAAGTTCCTCTTGTATTGAATTAAGGGATAATCTTCTATCATTTAATCTCACAAGGACTCTCGATCTCTTAAATAATTTTTTCCTACTTCTCGATACCCTCAACACTTATATGTTACCTTTATTAGATCAATCGAAATAAATCCAAATTCTTATATGTTACCTTTATTAGATCAATCGAAATAAATCCAAATTCATCAATATGTACTTTAATGGTGTTATCAATCCATTTAAAATTAAAAGCAAACACTCTAAATTTAATGTAATCAATCCCAAATTTCTTTAATGACTCTAATGGAACTTATAGAAGCCATCATGAGATTCTTATTTTTTTTCATCTAGAAAAAAGCATGGGCTTTGCCTTAAAAGTGACATCATTATTTTGGCACAATATTTTAGTCATTTTTAAACTTTATATAATGCATGTTATGATATCAAAGTTAAGTCCTTGTGCTAATAATTTTAATTTCCTAACATCACAATCTTCTTAGGAAATTGTCTTTAAATCGGTTGAGAAAAAAAATTATGCTTATTCAACAATCATTTTCCATTTGTAAGAGGGTTTGGAGACTTTAACAATGTTTTATGTGTATCTATGAAAACAAGAAGTCATCAGTTTTATTAAATTTATATAAATGGTCTTGGAGGAGTTCATCATGATATTTTGGAACTACTCTTACACCTCTTTTACCTTCACCTCCATTCATTGTCATGTTGAGACTTTAGAATGCCTATAACTTCTACTTGTATTTGAAGAGTATTTTTGTGGTACTTTTATTTCTTATAAGCACTCATAAAAGTTTTTCTTTTCATCTTTTAACAAAGTATGACGTGTTGGATACAAATATGTTCATTTATCATAAGCTTATGCTTGTAACTCCAAACAAAAACCATTGTAACTAGATATTTGTTAGCATTTAAATAATATTTTATCTTCCCTAATGTTTATCAATGTGCCAATTAAACTATCACATACAATATTGTCCATATGCATTGCACATATGCAATGTCCACCATCTAGTTTAGACTAATATAAAAGTTGATTAATATGCTTTTCTTTCATTATTTTGATAATAAATTTCATTTGAGTTTTCCTAAATACAATTATTTTAACTTATGGTAACTTGTGTTTCCTTTAAATATAGGACAAATATGATCTAAACTGAAAATCGCCTTTTGATATGTCTCAAATACCTCAACTTCTTCATTCACAACAATCTCAATTTTAGGTTAGGTTCGCTTGGTCCTGATATTAGAATAAGCAACATCACAATTTTTTTTTCATACACAATAACAAGACAAGTTATGTAAGGACTTAAAAAATATCTAAGAGTAGAAGTAGTCTTTATAAATGAAACTCAGTTATTTTATTATTAAAAAGTTGAGTTATAAATAGAATAATTAGTTAATCAAGTTTTATTT